TTAACCATTTAAATCTGTTACCACACCATCAACAGTGGTTGTTTTTGAGTCTTAGCAAGTCTGCTGCAAGTCTGCAGCTAGTCAGACTCATGGTAAATAGCTTTGCATGACTAGGATGGATTTACATATGCTAATGTGACATCTGGCCATTGTGCAATTTCTTATTTCTGTAATCCTTGAGTCAAAGATCTTCCTAGAAGATAATTTAGTAATAATCACCATTCAAGCTTTCAATTCAACTCTTTTTTACTATAGATGTCAATCTTAATCAAAAGATCTGCTAAACATTGGTCTGAAGGCAGACTGAAGAAAGCTACTTAAAATATAGATGCTTCATGTACATTCAGAAACAGCTTATTTGCTTTTATATAGTCAGAACTTTGAAATGAAGAATCAGAATTTAACCAAACTTCGGTGTTGCAAGTTTTATCTTTCCCAAGGTGAGAGTTAATTTAGACATAAAATAATGTATAATACAACCACCCAGCCACAAAATCTGTGCCATGGTTAGCCGTGGTATTATAAAGACAAATGTAATTTATATGAGAGCTTAACAAAGGTCAAAATGTAACCAATAGGGAAATAAAGTATGACTTTTTAGCTAGAGTCAATACTGATGATGTATTTTATAAATATCTTCTTTTGCCAACTACTTTAGGCCTTTTGATCCTAATTTCAGTAGAATTTTAGACTTGGACAAAAGAAAGAATGTTTTAGGTAAAGGAACATCATTAGTTCAAACCTTTGAAGTTAAGAAAGTATAATCTCAAGGGCAATTAAGCACTGAATGGATCTTTCATATCCAAGGAGATTATTTCAATTTGATTCCAGAAATTTCCATGAGAGACATAAGATTATTTTAATCATAGAATCACAGAATATGCTAAGTTGGAAGGGACCCACAAGGATCATCAAATTCAAAACTTAGCCCTTTACAGGACCATCCCCAAGAGTCACACCATGTGCCTGAGACTATCATCGAAACACTTGCACTCCGTCAGGCTTGATCCTGTGACCACTTCCCCAGGGAGCCTGTTCCACTGACCAACCACTCTCTGGGTGAAGAACCTCTTTCTAATATCCAAACTAAACCTCCCCTGACACAACTTCAGGCCATTCCCTTGGATTCTGCCACTGGTCATCACAGAAATCAGTGTCTGCTCCTCCTCTCCCCCTCACAAGGAAGTTGTAGACTGCAATGAGGTCTCCCCTCAGTCTCCTCTTCCAGGCTGAACACACCGAGAAACCTCAGCCACTCCTCATATGGCTTCCCCTCAAGGCCCTTCACCATCTTCGTTGCACTCCTCTGGACACTCTCTAACAGCTTAGTATCTTTCCTACATTGTGGTGCCCAAAACTGCCACGATATTCAAGGTGAGGCCGTCCCAGTGCAGAGCAGAGTGGGACAATCCCCTCCCTCGACCAGCTGCCAATACTGTGTCTGATGCCCCCAGGACATGGTCAGCCCCCCTGGTTGCCAGGGCACTGCTGACATATTCATATTCATATTCAACTGGCCATTGGCCAGGACCCCCAGGTCCCTTTCCTTGGCACTGCTTTCCAGCATCTCATTCTCCAGTCTGTCCATACATCCAGGGTTGCCCCATCTCAGGTGAAGAATCCAGTACTTATCCTTGTTGAAATTCATATGGTTGAAGGATACTATGTAATCGTATTTTTTAATAGATATGAACTTTGAAAATCCTAAAATCACCGACACATTCATGATGCTTTTTCACTAACAGAGTAATTCCCTGATGTAAGGTAAAACATACACAGGTATTCTTCCCAAGGATGCCAAGGCAGTAGAAGATTAAAAAAAAAACAGGTTTATTTCAGATGCAAAGACCATTTCTGTGCACTGGCCCCCCAGGGGAAAAAGGCAATGGCCTGCCTTCTGCAAGGCTTTTTGTATATTCTCTCTCTCCTCCCCCACCCTCTCTGGCCCAAGGAGGCCTTGCACATGTCTGCAAACATGTTATCTCTCTGCATACCAGGGAGAGAGAGAGATTGCTCACAGCTTCTCCCTGCAACTTTCCCTGAAATGCAGAAGAAAGGAAAAAAAAAAATCTAACTCATTTGAGAAGACATTTTACAGTGTTCCTAAGTGAAATCGAGTTCTAGCTGTCTACCACAAGTTCTTCTGAAAGTGCATCTGAACAAGTGGGCATTCTCCTATATTGTTTGTATTCCAAAACAGGTGTGCCAACAGGAGTAACTATCACATTGATAATCAGGCAGAAAGAAGAACTAAGGTTAAAATATATACCTTTGTTGTTGTCTTCTGGGAGAGAAAGCCACTTAACAAGTTTTGGTGTGGTTCAGATCATCTATACAGCAAGTTCCAATTTACTAGGAATTAGGAACACACTTCTCAATTTGAGCCACAGCCTCTCTAAAGGAAACTAGACCAGGAGTCATCTACAAACAATCTCTGCTTCATATTAGACCAAAAAAAGGGCCACACTATTTGTGTTTAAAATCCTGCACCTAGCCAGAAGTAACTTGATTGGAGCTGCAGGTACCTAAGCCTGTAACCAACATGAGGTGTTAGCCATTCCAACAGTAACCATCCAGAATCTTGCTATCATCCAGCAGCAGGTATGGAACTGACAAGTAGGAACAGAAGTGCTACATTTCTAGACAGGATTTACTAGTACTCCATTGAACCTCTTCATGAGGATACCTCCTCAAAAGCAAGGAGACTTATATCCTGCAGAGTTTGTAGTATGATGCACCTTGAAATCACATCATATATCATGGAGCAGTTCCAGTAATCTCAGTTTGACGTATTTTGAGTAAAATCTTTGTAGGTACTTCCTACTCAATCTGTCCTGATACGTATGCAGAGAGCAGCAGTTTTGAGTTCCAATGAGAAGAGGCCATAACTCCAGCACAGCAGTCAAGGCATCCAGATACATAGGGCAGGTTTGACATACTTGATCTCATCCTATGGCCTGTATCATGCTTTTGAGATGAGATAATTACTGTTTCATTGAAGATAAAACTACAGAGAAGTCCAGACTGGAGGGGACCTTGGGGGATCATCTGGTTCAGCCTTTCATGGGAAAGGAGAATAGATGAGAGCATTCAGCACCTTGTCCAATTGCATCTTGAAAACCTCCAGTGATGGGGACACTACCATGCCCTTGAGGAAGTTGTTCCAGTGAGTGATTATTCTCACTATCTGAAATTTCTTTCTAATATTGAGATAGTACCTCCCCAGTATAACTACCCATTGCCCCTTGTCTGCATGTGACTGTTTGTGAAGGGAGAGCCTTCATCCTCTTTGTAGTCACTCTTTAACTACTGGAATTCTGTCTCTTCTCTTCTCCAGGGTGAAAAGACCTAACCCCCTGTAGTGGGATGAACATGTCTCTGTATCTGCTAGTAATTCCTGTGTGGATTTAGCCCAGGATCAAATTTGCCTTCCATGCTGCACAGAGGTGTCCTGGTTTCAGCCAAGGACAGGGTTAATTTTTTGCGGTAGCTGTGAGGGCACAGAGAGTGGAATCTTGTAGGCGTGTCTAAATTGTTATTCTATACCACCAACATCAGCGCTGGGGGGGCAGTAAGGGGGTTTGGAGGATGCATATTCCAGATTACAGTCAGATTGTAAACCCTCTCTATCATGTGACCCAGAAGAAGAATGATTTTAAGTGGGGTCCTGAACAACAACAAAATTTTGAACAAATGAAACACAGGGCAAGATATGAAAAATGTGCTCTACACTGTAGGCAGGGAGAATGGTCCTTCCTGTATTCTCTGGTAAAAAGTACCTGGGGAGACTCGAGGATGAGCCCTGGGGTTCTGGAGTTGGGGATACAAGGGGTCTGAGGCCTGTTACACCCCAACTGAAAAAGAAATACTGGCAGTTTAGGAAGGGGTTTGAGCTGCTTCAGAAAGGATTGGCACTGAAGCACAGCTCCTCCTGGCACTTCAACTACCAGTGCTGTGCTGGATGTTCAAAGGGAAAGTTCCTTCTACACATCATGCCGCTAATGCTTTGTGGAGGAAGTGGGTCATGATGATCACACAGCAAGCTTGGATAGGAGACCCCAATCGCCCAGGGATCTTGGAATTCATCATAAACTGGCCTGAAGACAAAAATTTCAGACTATCATCATTAAATGAGGGGGATGAAAAGGGGACATGTGCTGAGGAGGCCCCACCATATAATCAGCTACCAGAAAATGGAAAGCGATACCCTCTCTTCACTGATGGTTTCTGCCATATCAAAAAAATACATTGAAAATGGAAAGCTACTGTATGGAGTCCTACATGGCAAGTCACAGAAGCTATTGAGGAACAAGATAGATCAAGTCAAGTTGCAGAGCTGAAAGCCATCCAGCTGGCTTTAGATATTGTCGAATGAGAGAAATGGCCAGTGCTCTACCTCTACACTGACTCATGGATGGTAACAAATGATCTGGGAGGGTGGCTGGACTGATGGAAAAAGAGCAACTGGCAGCAGAGAGGGAAACTCATTTGGGTGACTGAACTGTGGAAAGACATCACTGCCTGGGTAGAGAAGTTGGCTGTAAAAGTACGTCATGTAGACTGGCGTACCTGAGAGTCAGGCTACTGAAGAACATCACAACATCACAACAATGGACAGGTGGATTGGCTGCCAACATCAAAGTGTCTTCAGTGGATCTGGACTGGCAACATAAGGGTGAATTATTTCAGTGGGCCCAAGACACCTCAGGTCATCACGGAAGAGATGCGACAGAAATTTGGGCTCGTGATCGAGGGGAGGACTTAACTGCAGACTCTATCTTTCAAGTTGTCCATAACTGTGAAATATGCACTGCAATCAAGTAGGCCAAGTGGGTAAAGCCTCTATGGAATGGTGGATAACAATTGAAATATAAATACGGAGAGGCCTGGCAGATTGATTGCATCACAATCCAAAGCAAGTGCTACGTGCTGACAATGGTGGAAACAACCACTGGATGGCTGGAGATGTACCCTGTGTGTCACACCACTGCCCAGAACACCTTCTCGGGCCTTGGAAAGCAAGTCCTGTGGTGACATGACACCTCAGAAAGAACTGTGTCGGACTCATTTCAAAAACAGCCTCATAAACACCTGGGACAGAGGGCATGAGATTGAGTGGGTATATCCTATTATCTACCATGCACCAGCCTCTGGGAAAATTGAACAGTACAATGGACTGTTAAAAACCACATGTAAAGCGATGGGACTTTCAAACACTGGAATCTACATTTAGCAGAGACCACTTGATTAGTTGTCACTAGAGGCTCTACCTATGGAGTTGGACCTGCCCAAACAAAACTTCCACATATCATAGAAGGGGATAAAGTTCCAGTGGTACCTATGAGAAATGTGTTAGGGAAGACAGTTTATATTAGTCCTGCCTTAGGCAACCCATTTGTGGCATTATTTTTGCTCAAGGACCTGGGTGCACTTGGTGGGCGCAGAGGGATGAGGAAACGCAATGTATACCTCAAGGGGATTTGATTTCTGAGTAAGAAGTCTGCAGTGTTGAATTGTATAATATTGGTTTCTGAATGACACTGCCACTGTATGCCGTAACTGTCATGACCAATGAGGGTGGACTGCTCCGGATACACCAGCTGTGATCTCCTGATGCAGCTTGCAACCACCACAGCAGCCCTCCTGCCCTATAAGACATCTAGGACAGATAGAACTCACAGTTATGGAATAAATGAACTCAACAGATACCTTGGAGGGATAGTCATTAACTACAGAGATGATACTTGTGCTTGTATATATTTTTATATGTATTTGTTTATGTATAAAGGAGGAAGGTGTAGGATCTGGGTCTGAGGTGCATAATATAGAAAAAAGGGTGGATAATGTCCTGGTTTCAGCCAAGGACAAGGTTAATTTTTTGCAGTAGCCATAAGGGGGTAGCGCCTGGAATTGTGTGGCCATGTCTAGGTTGTTATTGCATACTCCCCATGTCATTTCTGGGAGGTGGAAATAAGGGATTCTCACTTCTGAGAAAAAGGGGTATGGCTTCGGGTGGGACAAAAGTGTGGGTGCAGAGGGTCTGTCCACCATTTTTTTCATTGTCTTGGAGTCACACTGGGTTGGGTCAGTCAGTGAGCAATTTGCAGGTAAAAAACCCTCTTTTTATACAGTGTTGTTATTAGTATTATTGATGCTACTGTTCGTTTTTCGTATCTCATTACTTTCCAGTAAATTGTTCTTATCTCAGCCTGTAATCTCTGCCTTTTGTCTCTCTCACCAGAGGGGTTGTGGGTAGGGGAAAAGCAGTGCAGTTCATAAACTAGAACAGCAGTACTCTGCTAACTCTTATATATCTTGTCCTCCAAAGCACCCCGATCACACTTGGTAAGGCTGCTGCCCAGACACAGATCCAAGACTCTTTGGGCTCTTTGGTTATGTTTTCCTAGTGGCAGGAATATGAATAATTTTAATAGAAACAATTGAAAAGGCCATTTTTAATAGATTTTTCTAAAAGTGTCAATTATTGTGATTTCCACTAAAGGCATTTTGTTATTAATAACAAGAAGATCAAAATAATTTTCAGATTGAAAAAGTTATCTGTGGGGTTTTTTTTAAGGTCATACTTTTGATAATAAAATGTCTTTTTCTTAAAAAGAAAAAGAAAATTAAAAAAAGTTCTTTTTCCAAACTAATGAGTGAACAATTTCAAGGAATTTCTAAAGACAACATGGGTTTGGGATTTGTCAATTTGAACACATAGGTACCCATAACCTTCACTGTTTATTCCAGCTGAAGGAACCAATGTGGGAAGCAGAGGGGAGCATCTCAGAAGGGGTAAGTTGGAATGGCCGAAATCCATTGTAGTTTCTGAAAATGTAAAATATTTTTCCATTAGATTGTGCGCAATTATTATAGTCCAGTTACAGAGGCATAATTAGACTCTATCCATAGAGCAGCTTCTAAATTTTTCAGATGTAATTCTCTGTTGATCTCAATATAACTTATCTTTGCATTATACATATTTCTTTGGATACATATAAAATTGTTAGCCAAAATATACTGTGGTGTGTAACAGACAAATAAAATATTTAAATATATTTCCAAAATAAAGTAGATCCACAGTACAAATGATGCACTTATCAATTGTAATACATTATGTTTTCTGTCTCATTTCAGAAGGTATTATGGTAATAATTTTGGATTTTAGCCAAGTGCTCAGCAGAGGATTTTAAACATCCTCTGAATAGACACATTTAATAGCTTTTAACCGTACAGAGCACTGCTCTTATCAGTGAGTAACAGGAAAATGATTAATACACTTCGGGTAAACTTGCACTTGGTCTTCTTTAGGTGCAGAAGGAGGCATCACTAAGGGCAGAAATCTCTAATTATATAAGAGGATATAAAAGACAGCAACTCACAGACATCAGATGCATATTCTGTAGGTCTACACAACAGATGGTGGTGTCTGGCAGTGTCTTTTCTTTTAAACAGAAAAATATTGTTATAAAAATATTCAGAATACATTTTTAGTTACTTAACCAAATGTGTGGATGAATTACTGGGAAATGAAAGCCATGATGTGGTGCAGGCAGGAACAAAAATTTTCTATGAAATCTCATTATTTAGGACTTTTCCACTCTTATGCTGCTTTCAGCTTTAAGACACGAGTATGTTCATGTCCTTGGTACTATCTATTTAAATACATCCCAAACCCATACATTTTTTGATACATTTAATTTGTACTGTAGTGTATTGGGATATCCTGAATACCTTGTTTTTACCCCTTTCCAATCCATTTCTGCTAAAAAGAATCACTATTATCAGCCACAAAGGGAATTCGCTCTTGCAACCAAAGTCCTCTGAAGGGAGAATCCTCTGCAGACCTACACTTTGAGTGACAAGTTCTTACATGTGTCTCATTATGAGTGGGTTAAATTAACATATATTCTGCCAAGTTGAAGAAAATAGCTGTGGCTAATAGGAAATAGTTCATAAATCTGACTGTGATGAATTTCATCAAGGTGATCCAATACTTCTGGGGGTCAGATGAAAATATTACAATTATGTTCAAATCTAAGTAAATCCAGTGCATCCGGATTGCTTTTTTGTTGGAACAGCCCCCATCCAAAGAGATCAGCTCTTTCCCCTGCACTGCCAACACACAGCATTAGAATGAGTTAGAGTGGAAGTGGCCACATTGGCTCCCGAGCCATAAATACAGAGCTCTATATGTAGTCAGACACCCCAAACCTGCAGGCGGAATTAATTGAATGAACATTTTCTGCTGAAAGGCTTTTCTCAGTATTAAAATTCTTTCTTTTTGTAAAATTGAATATGACTACCTAATCCTCTTCCTAAACAATAGCTAGAGGAAGATGGCAGTCATACCTTGAGAAATACATTATAGGAGGAGAAGTGAGAATAAAAGATTTACTCTAGTCTTTTTAATGCTTTGTACGCATGTTCCCAACAGTAATATTTAAGTCTGACCATTAAGAAGCTGCATCTTGCATTGTAAAAAACTGGGAAAACTTCTGGAGAAAAATTACTGGGTAGAATGACGTTAGCTTACTCTATTCTTATTTTTTCTGCAATGTCTTGCTGGAGAAATTTAAAATTCAGTTAAAATAACAGGTGAGACAGAATCATTGGTTTCCAATGGGCAATGATGCAATCAAAGAAATGATTCGTAAGGCTGAGCACAGAATTTGGAGAACACTGGCTCTCTGTGATGCCCCTAGTTAGACAGTGGCATCTTGTGAAGGACCTTCCATCTATCAAGATGGGAAGAGATTTCAATATGTTAATGTCTTTATTTCAAAGACACAAAATTGAAAGACTAACAAAACAACAAAGCAATAAAGATTCTGAGACTGTCATCAAATCTTGTAAAACATTTGGTGAAGAGGTTTGAAATTACTCACTATAAAAAAAAGTTGGGGCTAAATGATGACACTTTCCCAGAAAACCTCAGTACACCTATAACCAAATCTCCTCTTTGTTTTCAACATATATACCACTATATATATTATACATTGAGACAATATATAGCATGCAATCTAAAAAAGAGCCATGCACCATACTGCTTCAGGTGAAATTCAGGCAACAGTTTCCAAATGTGCCCTTACATCAGGATTGCCCTGCGATGCAGCTCACCACCCTTCAAAAGAAAAGGGCCTCTGATGTAAGCATGGGTTCTGGTCACAGCTGCAGTAAAGTTTGAGATGCTCTTTTGGGCAGAAAGGTCTTGAGCTATTTCAGCATTCATAAATTGATACCAATAGGCACCCTGGGCAGAAAAAAGCCCATATGGAACCTACTCACTGAGGTTAAAAAGTACTTTCTGCTGAAAAAATAAAACACAAACAAAACTTAGTGTTAAGAATTTTAGCATATTTTTTCCACTATTGTTCGTTGTGAACAAGCTATACATAGATTTTTTAATTAAATTTTTTAATCAGTGCTTGCAACAATAAATTAACTTCCAGCATAAAAGGTAGAGTTTGTAACCTCAATAAAGCCACTGTGCATCCCCTATACTGAAGTGTGACAAGTGGTCTGTAAATTCAAGCTATTCCTTGTATTTTCACCAACACAGAACGACCAAAAGAACTAAGAGTTCTATAAAAACAATTTACCTAGTTTGCAATTCACAAGCCTTAGATCAGAGTTAGTTCAAGCTAAATACATTAACGTTCCTAAAAATGGATCTTTTCTCCTAATGCACTTAATCAAATGTGCAGAGCTTTGATCAGAGAACACCTTAAAGATGCCTTCATATTTCAACTGGTTACTTTTATATCCAAGGAATGGGTACTGACACTTCAGAATGAAACCATGAAAGCCTTTGGAATGTTTTAATTTTAAAAAAGAGTTCAAAAGAGGAAAAAACAATACTTTTGCATCTCATACTCAACAACAAAGATGGTGTATGATATTTCAATACCTCTTTCAGGTCAGAGGTGTATTGAGAAAAACATCAGGGATGACTCTGTCTAGATTTATAAGTAAGCTAAATGACACATACTGCACTTTAATCTTCTTTTGATGCATACAGTTGACAGGAGCTACAAAGGTACAATATAAAGCTTTTGAGTATTTCCCCATATATTTTGTACAAGATGGAGGAACACATCTTCTTCCATAAAATATAAATACTTACATTTGTGCATTATGTATGTGAGGTTATACAAGTGAATAAGTTTCCTAAATCATACCAGAACTGAAACACAAAGGGGATATACAGCTTGTAGGAAGAAAATCAATTAGCCTGGTACACTAATGATAGCAAAATAAAATCCTTCCTCACTGGGGCTGATTCTAACTTAACTCTCATTTGTCCTGATGTAACTCCATAAATTTAATTAAATGCTCTGAAATTATGTTTTTGAAACAAATACCATATTCTGATATATTCCATTTTATATTAATTTGCTTTTTGTGTTGGCTAGTTTATTTACTTTGTTGCATTCAGGTAGCTAATGAGAAACTGCTTAGAAAGCTATGCAGGTTCACGTAAACGAGAAAGCAATTCATAAATTACATTCATTTACACAGAGTTGGGCTTACCACAGTATCTTTATATAGTAACAAATAATACATCCTACATTTTTTCATGGAATCATTTCAGAGAAATCGTATTACAGATATGCCAAGTAATTTTTTTTTTCTGATAACAGGCCGGCTATGGGTGAGCAACTGTCTTACAGATTCAGAGCAAAGGGTTACATCAGGCTGATGACTGATCATTAGTGGGGTTCCACAGGGCTCCACCTTAGGCCCAGCAATTTTCAGCTACTTCATAAATGACTTGCATGCAGGACTGGAAGGGATACTAAGTTTTCAGAGGATACCAAGTTGCATGGAGTTGTTGTTGACTCCCTAGAAGGCAGAAAGGCCCTACAGAGAGACCTTGACAAAATAAAGGACTGGGCAATCACCAGCTGTATGGAGTTTAACGTAGGTAAGATTCTTCACCTGAGATGAGGCAACCCTGGATGTATGGACAGACTAGGGAACGAGATGCTGGAAAGCAGTGCCAAGGAAAGGGACCTGGGGGTCCTGGCCAATGGCCAGTTGAATATGAATATGAATATGTCAGCAGTGCCCTGGCAACCAGGGGGGCTGACCATGTCCTGGGGGCATCAGGCACAGCATTGGCAGCTGGTCGAGGGAGGGGATTGTCCCACTCTGCTCTGCACTGGGGCGGCCTCACCTTGAATATCGTGGCAGTTTTGGGCACCACAATGTAAGAAAGATACTAAGCTGTTAGAGAGTGTCCAGAGGAGTGCAACGAAGATGGTGAAGGGCCTTGAGGGGAAGCCCCATATGAGGAGTGGCTGAGGTTTCTTGGCGTGTTCAGCCTGGAGAAGAGGAAACTGTAAGACCTCATTGTCCTTACAACTTCCTTGTGAGGGGGAGAGGAGGGGCAGGCACTGATCTCTGTGGTGACCAGTGACAGGACCTGAGGGAATCATATGAAGCTGAGTCAGCAAAGGTTTAGGTTAAATATTAGGAAGAGGTTCTTAATCCAGAGAGTGGTTGGTCAGTGGAACAGGCTCCCCAGGGAAGTGGTCACAGCACCAAGCCTGATGGAATTCAAGAACTGAATGCTCTCAGTGCCCTCAGGTACATGGCGCAACTCTTGGGGTTGTCCTGTGCAAGGCCAGGAGTTGAACTTCGATGATCCTTGATGGTTTCTTCCAATTCAGGATATTCCACGACAATGTTTTAAACATAAGAATGCCTTTTTTTTTTTTTTTTAATCTTGTCACTTGTATCTTTTATCCAAGACATTACAGGACTGCCTTTACTAGTTGGACCTTAATTATGAGCACATAGAATTGCATTGAAGTCACTAAAAACCAATTCATATCACCGTATCAAAGAGAATTATTCTAGGATAAGTTTGATATGTTTGTAATGCCTCATGCTGTACAAATACATGAAAATGAACTTCAGTGAGATCAACTGTATCTGTCTTTTGATTAGACCTATTCCATAAAATACTACTTTGAAACTTTCTACAGGAAAATTGCACGTATTCATCTTCAGTATCTGGGTCAATACATCTCAGAATAGAAATAATAATCAAATGGTGAATTTATTTAGTGCTTTGAGAAGGAAAGATTCAGAAAAAAAATGGAAGTTGTTGAGGAGAAAGTCACCACTAACTCTCTATAAGGCTGTCACAGAATAAGGTTTCCGTGAGTTTAGTGAGGAAGGCAAAAAATGATGGAGGGTCTCTTGGGAGAAAAATGATAAATAATGTCCAAGGACAACTCGGCAACAAACTTTCACAAATAGCTAAGTGTAAATAAATCATAATTTTTATGAAAACCGTATATTGAATTATTTTCTCAGTTTTGGGGGTATTTTCTTAAGAACAAGAAAACATTTCTTCCATATGAAGAACAAATTTGACAAATCTGACCACATTTAGATCTACATTAGGAGCTACATTAGAGCTACACCAGAGCTTCATCCATTAGAGCTATGTTAGGAGCTCTAATGGATGAATGCTGTGTTATTACTGTGTTATTTCAATACAAGTCTATGTATTCAATGAAAA